ATGTCCGAACAGCTAGTCATCATGTGGGTGAGGCAGGGAGTGAGGGTGCAAGCAGCCCAGTACATTTAGCGACCAACTAAACAATGAAAATCATGGACAACTATTTTCATTATCACTTTATTGACTATATCGATTAGTTCCTATGACCTCCTATAAGTAAGCCTAGGTAGTGAAACGCGTGAGAGGCACTGGTGTGGGAGAGATACCATGGTGAGGTATTTGCTGTACTAGGTTTGATTTTTATCTGGAAATTATTAGAATAAAGTTGGATACCGGTTCTTGTGCGGCTGATTGTACAAGGAATTATTTATCGATTTTAATTTTGTCCTTTAATTCACTTATCAATTATTGCACATGACACTTTTTATAGTTTGCATATAGTATATGAATTGGCAAATAAGCACTACACCTTTTTATGTTAAAAAAATATTAACTGAATGGAGTGCATTCTTCCTTGAAAACTAGATTAAAGGGGGTTATGATTACTTTGCATGAATACAGTACAAATGTTAAATATTCCCAGCACACTTACCAGCTAGACTGCAAAAAACAAATTACAGTGTCTTACAGAGTTAAAAAATATGTTCAAGCCACGCTGCCTTGTCAATGCCCCTCTGTGTAGTGTGGTCCTAACTCCTGAGAGCCTCCATCTTGGAGCATGTATAACAAATATTGCATTGGGTGCAGGTTTGCCAGAGCCTATTCCTCCTTTTTAAAGGTACAGAAACACACCAGAAGCCCAGCACATCACCATGGCAGCTGAAGCCTCTAGTGAGTCTCCACACAAAATCCGAAAATGGAGTGTACTAAAAAAACTATTTCAAGAACGGGTGCTATGCTTTAAATAAAACCTCCAAGGTATTGATTTCCAAAATATTCCCTGTGCCACAGTCAACACCACAGAGTCGGCAGGATTGCCCAGCCCTTCCATGTGCAGCTTGCTTTAAAATCTAGCTATGAAATTGATGAGTGTGTTTTTTGCAATTTGTTTCACTTTTTGACTTACATGGATCATATAGTAAACTTGGTGCACAAGATAAGTTTTTAAAGTCATTACAACTGACAAGTCACTCCTGGAAAAAGAGGTTTAACCACTTCAAGACTAGGTGTTTAGACCCCCTTCCTGGCCAGGCCATTTTTCAGTATTCAGCGCTGCGATACTTTGACTGACGTTTATTCAGTCATGCAACGCTGTACTGAAATGAATTTTATACCATTTTTTTGGGGACAGATAGAGCTTTCTTTTGGTGGTATTTAATCACCACTACTTTTATTTTTTACTATAATTAGGAAAAATTACTGAAAATTTTGAAAAAAAAAAAAGTTTTTTTTAACATGTTAGGAAACATTTATTATTACCCAGTTTTTTGGTAAAATATAAAAGTCGGGGTCACGTCGTTTAAATAGACACCAAACATGTCAAGCTTTAAAATTGCGCGCACCCGCGACTTCGCAGGAAACTACCATACCCAAAATTGGCCATAGGCGACACTTTAAAAGCTTTTACCGCTCATCAGTTTAGTGTTATCAGTGATTAATGGCCCTAGACTTATTGCTCTCACTCCGACGTTCGCGGCGATATGTAACGTGCGGCGTAATGGGCGCAATCGTCTTTTTTGCACGTATGCGCCCCGACGCATGTTTGCATGCGTGTATGTATGGGTGGGGACTTTTACATTTTTTTTTACATTCTTTTTTATGTGTAACTTAAAAATTTTTTGGGGGGGGACTTTTTTTTTTTCACTCAACTTTATTGATATCACATATGGGGGCTAATAAAACCCCCCTATGTGATAGCAAAATATGTGACAGGTCCTCTTTATGGAGACATCAGGGGTCTTCAAGACCCCTAATGTCACCTAGGACCCCCCAAAAGAAGCTGATGAAGCA